GGCCCGCGCTCCGCCTCACCGTCCTGCACCGCGCCCTCACCGGCGCAGACAAGTTCCTGGGCCGGGCGGAGGTGGATCTGGCGGCGCTGAGGGACGACGGAGGGCGGCGGCACACCAGGTGGGACGGGGGGGGACAGCGGGTGGGACAGGGGGGCAGGGGGGGGGGGGGGGGGGGGGGAGGGGGGACTCTGGGCACCACAGGGGCTGGGGAGAAGAATGGGGGGACCCTCTGTGTCCTACAGAGGCTGGGGAGGGGCCAGGAAGAGGGGTGCAGGGGTTTCTGTGTTCCATGGGAGCTGGGGAGAGGGATGAAGAGGGGACTCTGTGCCCCACAGGATTCAGGGAGGAAGTTGAGGGGGCCCTGTCTGCTCCTCAAGGGTCAACCCCAGTTCCCCATGGGATGTCCCTTTTCCTCATGGAAACCTCTGTACACTACAGGCATGTGTGGGTCTGGGGGGGAACCCTTATGCCCCTTAGGGGACTGAGGTTCTCTTGGGAGACACGCATGCCCCACAGGGACCCCTCAAGCCCCATGAGTGCCCACGGGGTGACCCCTCGGGGCAGGGTCTCCCCCAGTGTGGGTGAGCCCCCGATAGCTCCTGGAAGAGGCCAGGGGCCCCGGGGAAATGTGGCCAGAGCTTTTGCAGGCAGTCCTGCCTGGTGCTTGGGTTTGATTTTTCACTGTTTCTGTGTGTGTGTAGTGCCACTGTCCACAGGGAACAGCCAGGCTGGCTCCCGAAACCTGGTGTCCTCGGAATGCCGCCTCCCTGCAGCGGGGAACGAGCACAGCTCTTTATTTATTTCCCCTAATAAACACTTAGCACATGCCAGGGTGGATATTTCCATGTTCCATGGGCTGCCCTCGCTGCTGTCAGCAGGACACCGAGCCGGGGTCGTTAATGCCCAGCTCCAGCTCTGTGTCACACTCGCTGCTTTGAACATAAACAGTGGGGCGGTGAAATCCAGGGGTGGTGCCTGGGAGGGTTTTACTGGGAGTCAGCAGCCTTGTAATGTGGCTGGTGAGTCACCTTCCTCCTCTGGCTCACCTGAGCAGGGCCAGGAGCTGCCACCCCTTGTCAAGGCTTAATTAGGCCGCGGGTTCATTAAGGCTGTGTCAGGCACTGCTGTGTTTACACTGCGGTGCCCTCGGTCAGCAGAGCCCGGGGCCAGCGCCTCGGCCCCTGGCGGGTGCCTTTGTGTCTGTCTGGGCAAAGGAAAATTGAGGGGGAGGAGAAAAGAAAACACGACTTCGGTGCTCCTGGGGAAATTTCCCGATATTTTCGGTTGTTTCCAGCCCTCAGTTTCCTGTTTGAAGCCTGTTTTGTCCTGGCTGCCACGGCGATGTGTGGCTGCAAAGGGAGCATAAATGCACGTTGATCTGCAGGTGCTCATGAACGTGAAAAATGCCATTAATGAGGGTTTTTTTGTGGTTAGGGGGGTTGTCAGTCCGTGATTTCCTTCCAGTGAGGCCGTGTTTGGTTGGGGCTGAGCTGCCTTTGCTGAACACGTCGTTTGCTCCCGGGCAGGGAGCACACGGGATCAATTGTGGCACCGAAGCCCTGCGAGCACAGGATGCTCCTAGAAACCACGGGTTTGGAACAAAAGTGCCCAGTGCTGGCTCGTATTAAAGGCAAAGGATCTGTGATTCCCAGGCTGCAGCCTCAGGGGCTGGGCAAAGCCTCAGTCTCCTGATAAAATCCCTTCTCTTGGTACCTTGTAACTCCAGACTGTAGCTCAAGGGTTCATTTAGAATTATGGAATCACAGGATGGTTTGGGTTGGAAGGGACCTTAAAGCTCACCCTGTCATGGGCAGGGACACCTTCCACTAGCCCACGGTGCTCCGAGCCCCATCCAACCTGGCCTTCCAGGGATGGGGCATCCACAGCTTCTCTGGGCAACCTGTGCCAGGGCCTCGCCACCTTCACAGGGAAGAATTTCTTCTGTATATCCCTCTGAAGTGTAGCAGATTGCTGAATCCATCTCCCTCAGTAATCCTCATTACTTTTGAATTTCCTCTGGGGCAAATTGCCTTTTCCTGTTCTCTTTCTTGTTGCTTCCAGTGCACCTTCAGAAGTTGAAGTGCAAATTTGATGGTGAGGCACATTTGCATGCTCTGTTTCCTTCCGTAATTTTCCTGTTCCATCTGGTGAGGAGCAAGAAACCAGCGTTTTCCAGGCAGCCTTTCCCGTGGGTTCTGTGGAGTTGGGAATTCTGCGGCTCCAGCAACAGACAAAACCACAGTGGTGTGCAGCACTGATAATTCTCTTTCCTGGCCCACATGTGGTTTGAGAGTCACTGAGTGGTGGTTGAGGGCGTATGGATGGTGGGATTGTGGTTTGGGATGCCCTGAGCACTCACCACATGGAGCTCCATGTTCTGGAGCCAGGGTTTGGGAAGGGATGTGGCTCTGTCTGAGCGATGTCCTTCCTGGTGCTCCCTGCTCAGTCACGAGCTGGGGGAGGTGGGTGGAAATCCCCAGCGGTCTGCAGGGCTGGGGTTGGCTCTCTCCTGCTGATTAGAGGTTCCTTGGCTTAAGAGGCATTAGGGAGCTGGAATGAAAGGTATGAGGGCGTGGGACGCGTGTGCAGCTCTTGGTGCCGCGTCTCGCTCGGCTCCCACTTCAAAGCCGTGGCCTCTGTGAGTGTCAGGAGGAGATATGAAAGGGCAGAGGAGAGTGGCTGAGCTGAAATACAGGAATTCCATGTTGTGTTTCTGTTTTTCCTCCTTCTTTTTAACCCCTCCTGATCTGGGTTTCAAACCAAACCTCACTAATAACTTTCTGTTTACGATAAGGAATGTTTTCCTTGGCACCTGGGGCCGTGACTGTGACGTCCTCATAAGATTAAAGGCTTTTCTTTTCCTACACTGGAGGCTGATTTGATTTTTCAAACATAAGCAACCTCTGTGTTCTCAATTACCCGTGCCTTGGGAACTGGTTGTAAAAGAAGCCTCCTTGTTGCTGCAGGTGGTACAAGCTTCGCTCCAAACCGGGGAAGAAGGAAAAGGAGAGGGGGGAGATCGAGGTGGACATCCAGTTCATGAGGAGCAGCATGACAGCCAGCATGTTTGACCTGTCCATGAAGGACAAGCCTCGCTCTCCCTTTGGGAAGCTCAAAGACAAGCTCAAGGGCAAGAGGAGCAGCGGCCTCTCGGACACGGCGTCGGCGATCGTTCCCAGCACGACCCACTCCCCCGCCGACAGCGAGGACGAGGCGGTCGAGAAGGAAAAGAAGAAATCCAAGTTCAAAGCGCTGTTCTCCAAACCTGGGCTGCAGAAGACCCTGTCCCAGTCCATGTCAGTCCTGCCCACGCAGCAGCCCGTCACCCAGAAGGTTCGGCTTCGGCCCAGCGACTTCCAGCCCCAGTGGGATGAGGAGGAGTCTGAGACCTCTCCGACCTCAGAACGTGAGTATTGGCACTCGCTGCACTGGTGAGCACAAAGCCTTTCTCCAAAGGGTTGTTTACGCTTTCCACAGCACTAGTTAAACTCTTCTTTCTGAAAAAAATCCATGGAAAGCCCCTCCTGGCACTGAGGTTGTCAGTAGCAAGTGCCAGAGGAAAAGTTTTTCTTGTGTCTTGAATTTCTCCCTGTTTGATTTTTTTTTTTTCCAGGAGCCCTTGGAAATGCCCTGGAAGAGAAGCCAGCTCCTTCTCCTCTGTTTAAATCTCGTAAAACAGCCCTTTTGGACAGCAGGCAGCTAACCCAAGGAACCAGTAACCACACCAAGAAGGAAGGGCTCTCTTTGTTCAGTGGCCTGAAATCCAAAAGCGATCCCGTTTCCAAGTCTAGCCTGTGTATCAACGGCAGTCACGTTTATATGGAAGAGACCACGACGAAGGACAACACTCCAGCCTCCTCTCCCTCTCCTCTCAACTTCAGGAGGAAGCAGCTCTTTGCTTCAGAGGAAAACCTGTCCTCCAGGTCCAGCAAACCACCTGAAGAGACAGGAAGAACCTCTCCTAGTCAGGCTTTCTCTGGGCCCACGTCCTTGGAGACCTTCAAATCCATGACTCTGCCGTCGTACAAACTGCTGAGCAGCGAGGAGCCCCTGGACACCAGCGTTCCCCCGAGCACCGAGGCTGTGAGGGAGCCCAAAAAACCAGACCACAAAAAGTCTGCCCTGCTCTCCCTGGTCACCGGGAAGAAAGAAGTGGGGAAGATGGGAGATGCTGACAGTATTCCCGACAGGACCCTGCAGAGCGAGGAGAACAAAATTCCAGAAGAGAACAGTGAAGAGGAGGCCAAATGTCTTGAACCCCCAGCAGAGCTGGGCAGAGGGGACCCATCAGGAGACACTCAGAGCACAGAAGACACCTTTGCAAACAAGCGGCCGCTCGGCCCTGGTGAGGAGGAACAGAAACCTGAAAAAGCTGCTGCCCCAGCCAAGACCAAGGCTGTGAAGCCCACAGTGAAGCCCAGGTGAGTCCCAGCTGCTGATGGGAATTGGGATGGGCAGTGGTGGTGGCAGGGTGGTGATGTGGGCTGTGTCCTGCCACACCAGGGCTCTGGAGCACCCGCAGGATTTATGCTGGCGTTGGGCACTTTGGTGGCCAATAACTCCCAGGCTCTTTGTGGGTACAAAGAAAAGATGGATATAGGAATG